CAGCACAATAGACACCCAGCAGTGTAAACTCATCCAAATGCTAAAGTCAGAGCGCAGACACCACAATGGCTCAAGAGGTAAAACAAAGTAGTCAAGTTCTACTCAACAAGATGAACAGATACCCACCCTACTTAACAATTCTTTCAATAACTGTGAATAGACTGAACTCCCCTCTCAAGAGACAGAGGTTGGCGGAATGGATACAAATGTACAAGCCAAGTCTCTGCTGTCTCCAGGAAATGCATCTAACTCACAAGAACTCATTCAGACTCAAGGTGAATGGACGGGAAACAATATTCCATGCAAGTATAAACCAAAAGAAATCTGGTGTAGCCATTATTATATCTGATAACATAGACATCAAAGCAACAAAAGCAAGATAAAGATGGTCATTATATAATGGTAAAGGGAATAATTTAATAAGGAAACATTACAATGCTAAATATTCATGCACTTAACATAGGTGCACCTAGATTTATAAAGCAAACCCTACTGAATTTAAACAAAGTGATAACAGCAGCATTGTAATAGCTGGGGAACTTAGCACAGACAGAAATAAACAGATTCTCCAGGCAGAAAATAAATGAATAAACACAGGATTTAAATGTGACTCTAGAGCAAATGTGCTTAGCAGATATTTACAGAACATTCTACTAAAAAAAACTACTGAATATACTTTCTTCTCATAGCACACAGAACATTCTCCAAGAATGATCACAATTTGAGACACAAAACATATCTCAACAAATTAAAAAAATTTAAATTATAACATACATCTTCTCAGACCACATTGGAAGAAGACTAGAAATTGACTCCAACGAAAACACTCAATTCTACATAAAGTCATGGAAATTAAGCAATCAATAAATGATTATTGGGTCAAGGAAATTAAGATGGAAATCATAAGATTCTTTAGACTAAATGACAGAGGGGACACGAGCTACCAAAATCTGTGAGATTCAACAAAAGCAGTCCTAAGAGGAAAATTCATAGCCTTAACTGCCAGTATTGAAAGAAGATCACAAGTGATCAATCTCATAAATCATCTTGAGGAATCAGAAAAGGAAGAGCAAACCAATCTCAAACCTGGCAGAAGAAAAGACATACTAAGGTCAGAGCAGAACTAAATGAAATCAGTAAAAAAAGAATCATACAGAAGATTAATGAAACAAAGAGTTTGTTCTTTGAAAAGATAAAATTGATAAATCCTTTGCTAGATTAACCAAAAACAGAAAAAAATTCCAATAAACTCAATCAGAAATGAAAAAAGAGATATTACAAACTGATATCACAGAAATATAAAACATCAACTCTGAATATTATAAAAAACCTCTATGCATATAAACTGGAAAATGTTGAGGAAATGAACAAATTATTGGAAACACACAATCTCCCTAGGTTCAATCAGATTCAATTGATATTGATCAAGTAATAAAATTGAAGCAGCAACAAAAAACCTTCAATGAAGAAAAGTCCTGGAACAGATGGTTTCACAGCAAATTTTTTCAGACCTACAGAGAGGAATTGGTACTTATACTGCAGAGATTATTTCATAACACTGAGAAGGAAGGAATCCTCCTTAACTTATTCTATAAAGCCAGTTATCACATTAATACCAAAGCCAGGAAAGGACAGAACAAAAAAGGAAAATTACAGACCAGTATCCTTTATGAATACAAATGCAAAAATTCTCAATGTAATTGTACCAAACTGAATTCAGCAGTACATCAAAAAAACAATCCACCACAACCAAATGGGCTTCATCCCAGAGATGCGAGGATGGTTTGACATACACAAATCTATAAACATGGTTAGAAGTGAAATAAACCATATTATTATCGCATTAGACACAAAGAAAGCACATTTTTATGATAAGAACTCTTAACAAAATAGGCATGGATGGAACATATTTCAAAATTTTAAAAGCCATAGATGATAAACCCATGGCCAACATCACATTAGACAGGGAAACCCTAAAAGCCTTCCTTCTGAAACCTGGAACAGACAAGGCTGCCCTCTGTCACCACTTCTGTCCAACACAGTGCGGAAGGCCCAGTCAGAGCACCAGACAAGAGGAGGAAGTCAGGGTGTCCAGGTGGGGACAGAACAGGTCAAACTATCACTCTTTGCTGGTGACCTTATATCTAGAAAACTCCAAAGATTCTGCCAAGAGACTCCTGGGCCTGATAAATAAATTTAGTGAAGTCTCAGGATACAAAATCAATAGCATTCTTACACAGCAGCAATAGTTGAGCTGATAATACAGTCAAAGATTCAATACCTTTCCCAATAGCAACAAAAAAAATAAATACATGAATTATGTAGGAATTATATTTAACCAAGGAAGTAAAAGACCTCTACAGGGATAACTGTGAGTTAACGAGAGAGGAAATCACAGAAGATGAAAACAAATGGAAAACATGCCGTGTTCACAGATCAGGAAAATCAGTATTGTTAAAATGTTCACATTAACCAAAGTGATTAACAAATTCAATGTAATCCCCATTAAAATACAAGATCATTTTTTGCAGATGCAGAAAAAATAATTCTATGTCTCATATGGAACCAGAAAAGAGCCTGAATAGCAAAAGGACTATAAGCAAAAAGGATAAATTGGGAGACATTGTTTAACTTCAGGCTATATACTACCAGGCTCTGTTTAACAAACAGCACGGCACCGGCACAAGAACAGAGCAACAGAAAACTTAGTAGACAATGACGTACACTTGGGAACAGAATCCCTATTCAGTAAATGGTGCTGGGGAAGTTGGTCAGCCACATGTAGAAGACTGAAACAGAATCTGCACCTCCCACTACTCACAAAAATTACTTCATGACGGGTAACAACTTAAACCTTAGGAAGGAAACTATAAGAATTCTAGAAGAAAATGTTAAAAAAATTCTTACAGACATTGGCCCAGGCAAAGAATTTATGAGGAAGACCTCAAAACAATATTAAAAATTAACAAATGGAATCTGACTAAATTAAAAAGCTTCTGCACAGTCCAGGAAATAATCAACAGAGTGAACAGACAACCTACAGAATCAGAAAAAATAAATACATGCCTATGTATCTGAGAAAGGGCTGATAACCACAATCTATAAAGAATGCAGGCAAATCCAGCAAGAAAAAAGAAATCAAACATCGCCATAAAAAAGTGGGCAAAGGATATGAACAGAAGCATTTTAAAAGAGGACAGCGTAATGGCCAGTAAATGTGAAAAAAAGCTCAACATCTCCCATCATCAGGGAAATGCAACCAAAGCTACCCTGAGGTATCACCCAGCTCCAGTGAGAAACCACAGGGGCTGGCGTCGATGTGGAGAGAACTGTACTGTAACTTGTACCGTTAGTGGGACTTGCAAACCAGGACAACCTCTATGGAAAGTCATGTGTCAGAGAACTAAAGGAGGCCTACCATCTGATCCAGCAATCCTGTTATTTGTTATTTACCCAGAGGAAAATAAGTGATTATATCAAAAACATGAACATTTACTGCAGCACAATTCACAATCACAAAAATGTGGGACCAAACCAAGTGCCCCTGAGTACATGAGTGGATTAATAGAATGTGGTGTATGTGTGCCATGGAGCACTACTCAGCCATATTGAAAAAATGGCGAACTAATAGCTTCACTAACAACCTGGACGCAACTGGAGACTGTACTTCTAAGTGAAGTTTTACAAGAAAGAATGTAAAAAAAAACCACCACATGTACTCACTATTAACCTGAAACCAATCTGTCACTATCCACATGCACATGTGGTGGTAAAATGCAATGGAAAACAAGCAGGTAAAAAAAGGGGGCAGGGGGGGAGGGAAAATCCACACCTAACAATGCAATGCACACTACCGGGTAAGGGGCCCACTTATAACTCTAACTCAGACTGTACAAAAGCAATTTACCCAAACATTTGTATTCTTGTAATATTCTGAAAAAAAATTAAAACATATAAAAACTGCTAATTTAGTTTCCCACACTATAAAATGCTCAGAGGCATAAGAGTTCATACATCAAACATCATTAATGATTTCAAAGTTTTTAGAATACTGGTTACAAAATAACTTAATGCTTTGCAGATCCTTCTAATGCAGCATTAAAAACCGCAGCATATTAGTGCACTGTAGCCCCTATTTTCCTAGTCTTTTTCTTTCTTTCTTTTTTTGAGACAGAGTCTCACTATGTCAC